CCAGTCGCGTATCATTTAGCGTACGCCCACTGGCCTCACTAACACATTCAATATCTCATTCATATTATGTGCCGCCAAGAACCAACACAACATTTTTAACCAAAACAAAAAAAAAATTAAAAAGAAAAATTAAAAACCATTCCTTTCCTTACAAACCATCAGCTATGGCCAGTCGCGTATCATTTAGCGTACGCCCACTGGCCTCACTAACACATTCAATATCTCATTCATATTATGTGCCGCCAAGAACCAACACAACATTTTTAACCAAAACAAAAAAAAAATTAAAAAGAAAAATTAAAAACCATTCCTTTCCTTACAAACCATCAGCTATGGCCAGTCGCGTATCATTTAGCGTACGCCCACTGGCCTCACTAACACATTCAATATCTCATTCATATTATGTGCCGCCAAGAACCAACACAACATTTTTAACCAAAACAAAAAAAAAATTAAAAAGAAAAATTAAAAACCATTCCTTTCCTTACAAACCATCAGCTATGGCCAGTCGCGTATCATTTAGCGTACGCCCACTGGCCTCACTAACACATTCAATATCTCATTCATATTATGTGCCGCCAAGAACTAACACAACATTTTTCACCAAAAAAAAAAAATAAATAAAAAAAAAATAAAAAATTAAAAACCATTCCTTTCCTTACAAACCATCAGCTATGACCAGTCGCGTATCATTTAGCGTACGCCCACTGGCCTCACTAACACATTCAATACCTCATCAATTTTATGTGCAGCCAATAACTAAATGAACATTTTTTACCGAAAAAAAAATATTAAACGTCATTCCTTTCCTCATAAACCATCAGCTATGGCCAGTCACGTTTCATTTAGCGTACGCCCATTGGCCTCACTAACACATTCAATATCTCATTCATATTATGTACCGCCAAGAACTAACACAACATTTTTCACCAAAAGAAAAAAAAAATTAAAAAAAAAAATTAAAAACCATTCCTTTCCTTACAAACCTTCAGCTATGACCAGTCGCGTATCATTTAGCGTACGCCCACTGGCCTCACTAACACATTCAATACTTCATTAATTTTATCTGCAGCCAGTAACTAAATGAACATTTTTTACCAAAAAAAAAATTTAAACACCATTCCTTTCCTTATGAACCATCAGCTATGGCCAGTCACGTTTCATTTAGCGTACACCCACTGGTCTCACTAACACATTCAATATCTCATTCCTTTTATGTTCCGCCAAGAACTAACACAAAATTTTTTACCCAAAAAAAAAAAAAACGCAACATCATTTCTTTCCTTACAAAACATTAGCTAGGGCCAGTCGCGTATCCTTTGGCGTACGCCCACTGGCCTCACTCACACATTCAATGCTTCATTCATTTCATGCGCAGCCAAAAACTATCCTTTTGCTGACGTAACATTTAGCGGCTTGACCTACGGTTCCATATTATTTTTATTTTTTTCTCACTTTAAGGACAAAAAAAACGTAATCAAAATTATCTATGAAAAAAAATTATCATCCAAACCTCTCCTTTTTTCAAATCAACATCAAACGCCAGTCGCGTATCCTTTTGCATACCCAACTCTGGGCGACCTCACCTACCATTCCAATAAATGCTATTCACTTCATAAGCAAAACTGA